CCCCCCCACCCCAATGAGCATTTTGTCAGGCTTCCCTGACAATTTGCTGGTACCCATTTATACTCCTGGGTGGAGAGGGATAGCGCTCATGTATATGTTGTAGTTCAATTTTATCCTTGGTTCAAATTTTATTTTCCTTTGTTTCAAACTCATTATCATACATTAACATGACCAAGAACAGGAAAATAAAATTTGAACCAAGTATAAAATTGAACTACAACATATACTCCTGAGTGGAGAGGGACAGTATCCAACTATACTCCTGGGTGGAGAGGGACAGTACCCATTTATACTCCTGAGTGGTAGAGAGAGGCACTGTAAAAATTAAATGTTTTGCCCCAGAACACAACACAATGACCTGGCCTCTGGAGCTGGAGTCCAGTCCTCTAACCATTAGGCTACAGGGTTCCCCTAATTTGGACATAACTACTTTTAATTGAAGGGTTCTTTTGTGGTTCCCCAATATTCTTCCATTCTTCAAGATTTGCATTTTTTTTCCTCGTTTCATTTTGATTGCTGCTTCTTTTTCTTTAAACTTGTAGTTTTCCGTGCTGAGGACAGTAATACACATAGGCACCTGACAGAGTTTATTGGTCTTGATATTGAGATGACTTTTATGGAGCATTACCATGAGGTAACTCAGCCACAACACGTTCTTATTATGGAAGGTATTTGCAGGTGCTTCAGTAAATTTTCCTCAATAGGATTTTCAGGAGACAATTTAATTCTCTGAATTATTGCTTTATAAATAACATCACTGTCTGAAAGTAATGAGAAATGTTCTGATCTGCCATTTTCGTTCACTTCCTTTACTTCAGGTGATTGACGTGATTGGTCAAACCTTTGTCCATATCTTCAAAGGATTGCGTGACAGGTGACATTTTATGTGCCATACCCAGTTAGAGAGAGATGGTCACAGAGTTGGACTATTACTATTTGGATACAACTTATTGAAGACGAAAATGTCCAAGCCAATACTCTCTGAAACAGACAGCTCTTCTTACACCCTTAATTTTCTTTGGAAAACTCCATTTAAAAACCCATGCATACTTTGTATTCCCACATTACTGAAAGTACTTTTTCTCTTACATGACAAGGGACACTTGTCAGGAATACATTCGAGCCATTTATTTTGGTTTTTAACCTCCTGTATGTGAAGGCCCTTCCCCCCCCCCCCAAGGAAATCCATCAGTCTCTGACTAAGACCCATATCAATCATTTTCCCATCACTGTCTCTTCTTATCACTGTTTTTGTTGTTGGTCTTAGGGACCTTAAGCAACCACGACGGCGACGGCAACGAGGATGTGGAAAAACACAATACGTAATTGGAAGAACAATAGCCCAGCATGTGCATTTTGAAACTTTATACACTTCTTAGCCATCCTTTGCAAAACAGCGACGTGAAATCGCCAAAATTTGCGTCATCTTCGAACCGAAACCGCGACGGCAAATTATTTTAATTTTCATTTGGAACTCAACGCTACTTTTATATGTCATGCTGAAGTTGAGCTGTGGTGCCATACGAGACAGTAAGCTCCTGCAGCCATGTTTGAAATTCCAACTAAGAGTAGAAATTCATTTTTTAATCAGAGTCTTCCTTGGCATTGCCATCCTGACTGCTTAAGATCCCTATTGTTGTTGTGGTAACCCTAACCCTAACCCTAACCCTAACATGGTTGCCCATGAAAATAGAAGTTAGCTGGGAAATTTTTCATAAGATCTGGTAACCATCCCCCCTCCCCCTGCAATCCTTCCCTTCAAGAACCTTGCTTTTTATTTAGTATCGTGAAGAAAACCACATTTGTCTGTTTTTCCTTCTTAATAGGAAATTTGATAGTTTCTGATACTATGCATTAAATCATTCTTTCCTTCAGATATGCTGAGGATATTGCAAAAGTACAGAAACAGTACCCAAGCGTACCTTTTAAATTTCTGGAACCAAGGTTTGCTTTGGCCACTCTTATGACTCCTTTCACCCAATCTAAGGATAGATAGTAGCTTTGCTTGTTGAAGTACAGTGCCTGCCAACAATTTTTTAATTAAGAAAGTAGAAGGGAAAAAATATCAATCCATCTGAGAAAAATATATTTTTGACTTACACTGAGTATTGACTAACACTGAGCATTGACTAAATAGTACAACTGACTTGTAATGTACTGTAGAAAATCCTTATTTTTTTAGCTTTATACATTTTGGAACAGGTCAAGTTAAAGTTTTTGCCTCTATGGGTTTAACATTGTTGTGAATTGACATTAACCCAGCGGGATGTGTGTGGAAGTGTATCACCCCTCATGCTGGCATTGTTTTTTTTTTTGTTTCTAATTTTTGTTTATTCAGTTTGGTGCTGAATTATCGTGAAGGAGTTGACATGCTGAGTGGAAGTGTACCACCCCTCATGCTGACATTGTTTTTTTGGTTTCTAATTAATTTTTTGTTTATTCAGTTTGGTGCTGAATTATCGTGAAGGAGTTGACATGCTGAGTGGAAGTGTACCACCCCTCATGCTGACATTGTTTTTTTGGTTTCTAATTAATTTTTTGTTTATTCAGTTTGGTGCTGAATTATCGTGAAGGAGTTGACATGCTGAGGGAAGCTGGAATAGATATGAATTATGATGAGGACCTGAGGTATGCTAAGGGAAAATGATGGTTTTTTTTTTACTCTGTAAGTAGTGAAGCAAGCTTTATTGAAACAGATTTCATTAATATTGTTTGGATCTGTTTTGTTTGCATTATTTGTCTTTATTAGTCAATATGATATGCCTAGCTGTTTGAGCATCTGTCTGTCTGTCTGTCTGTCTGTCTATGCTTCTGTCTGTCTGTCTGTTTAAGCGTCTCTGTCTGTTTGAGCATCTGTCCTTCAGTCTCTTTTTCTTTTACTGTTTGACCATCTGTTTCTCTGTATAAATATGCATCTGTCTGTCTGTCTGTTCTAGCATCTGTCCATCAGTCTCTTTTTCTTTTACTGTTTGACCATCTGTTTCTCTGTTTAAATATGCTTCTGTCTGTCTGTCTGTTCTAGCATCTGTCCATCAGTCTCTTTTTCTTTTACACAAAAATCATGAGAATGTATGGTACAATGTAACAAACCTGAACTCTGTTTTTTCATAGCACTCCAAATGAAAAACTATTGGGAAAACTTGTGAAGCAGAAATATGACACAGACTTCTTCATTTTGGACAAGTATCCACTGTGTGTGCGTCCATTCTACACTATGCCAGATCCACACAATCCTGTGAGTGCCATGTGCTTAAGAGCACAAAAAAGCCCTATTTTTCTGCATTTATTTTTGTTTTGTTGCTTTGTTGTTTATATTTTTCCCTCTATCATTTTGTATTTGCCTTTTGACAGTAAGCAATCAAAGCTCTCACTTTAAACAAATGCGATTCCTTAACAGTACAGCGGTAATGTTGTCCGCTTTTATAAGAACCTGCTGGAATCCCAAACCCTATGTTATCCTATTTTTGCAGGATTTCTTTTCTCACAGTAGTTCCATGGTTTTAACTGTCCACTGATTGTGAGATTTCCCTGTTACTTCACTATGTCCAGAAATGCACGCAGTAACGAAAATGGCAGATTTGACGAAATTTCGTCGAACCGAGTGAATGTTCATGGACAATTTCTGGCGACTGTTACTTTTAAGCTTAAATACTAAGGATTTACGGTCAAGTCGCCTGAAAGTCATGTCGCCCGAAGTCATGTCGCCCGAAGTCATGTCGCCCGAAGTCATGTCTCCCGAAGTCATGTCTCCCGAAGTCATGTCGCCCGAAGTCATGTCGCCAGAAACCTGAGTCATGTTGCCCAAAATTTTAGTGATGAGTTCGTGCTTGATGACTCTCCGGCCGGTTGCCATACTAAGCCAAACATGTAGGTGCAGTCAGTTGATGATGAACAGAATGGCTTTCGTTTGGATGTTGTGAAACTCAAGCCGTTACTGATCATCAATTAGAAAACAGTTTACTGTCTACAGTAAAACACAACGTAAAGCAAAGGATAATAGGATAATGCAAGTACCTTGAAGTTATGGCTGCCTGGCCCCGCTAGCCCCTATGGTTATTGCAGGCAGCCAGTACTCTAACTTATACTTTTTAATATTCTCTTTGTTGTAACTTTTTCTGAGCAAGAGTGAGTACAAATAAAGATTGTTGTTGTTGTTGTTGTTGTTGTTGTTGTTGTTGTTAAGACTTCGATTTAGCACATCTTTTTTTTCATTTTTTGCAAAACAGGAATGGAGTAATTCATATGACATGTTCATGCGCGGAGAGGAGGTCCTCAGTGGAGCACAGCGAATACACGACTCCGACCTGTTGGCAGAGAGAGCCAAGCTACATGAAATAGGTGAGTTATTTTGTATTTATAAATCACTCTATTCTCGAAGGTGTAGCTTATATTTAAACGGACCACAAGCTACCGAGATGGAGTCTTTAACAGGCCACAGAATAGACTACAATGGGAAAGGGGTTCTGAGAGGACACATACCCAAACATTGACTTAAGTACCTTCCCCCCTCCCCCCCCCCCTCGAGCCCTATGCGCGCATGGTCATGAAAAATTTTAACTTCCTTCCTCTTTTTTCAGATTTGGAGAAGATCAAGGCGTACATTGACTCATTTCGTTATGGTGCACCACCTCACGGTGGTGGAGGAATAGGTAAGCTTCTCTGATAACTTGATTATCAAAAGTTTCTTTCATGCCACTCTCTTTTTCAGTTTTATACTCGCTCGGAGCGATGTGTTCCCAGTTATCAAAGATTCCTTTGATCGCCTCAGTTTTCTCCAAATTATAGTGACGTTATGTTACGTTCTTTGTAATTTGTGTATTGGCTGCGTGGCTGTTTTGCCTCTCACTGTCCCAGTGATTTTACACAATTGTTGCTGGGTCTGGCTTTTTCAAACGTACTTCCAAGAACAATGAATGTGTTCTGACTTTGGACGCTGAATTCAGCAAGTCTCTTTTTTTATTATTATTGAAAAATCCCATCTAATGATTTCCATTTAATCAGAGCCTGATATCTTTAGGAAAAATTACGAACATCGCAGGTTTGAATTTTCCTCCTGGCCTTATTTGACTTTGACAGCGCCAGAATTTTGAAGATATTTAAACACGAGAAGACCATTTGTGAGAACCTTAACCCACTCTAGTACTCCCTTAGATTGTGATTTGTTTCTAACACCGACCCTCTCTCCTCCCTCCCAGGCCTTGAGCGAGTAGTCATGCTGTACCTGGATCTTCATAATGTCCGAAAGAGCTCCATGTTCCCACGTGACCCAAAGCGTGTCACTCCATGAGAGAAGGCGCTCCAAATATGGACAAAGCCAATCAAATTTCCGCGAAACTGATGCAACTTAAAAACAATTCAATTTTCACGAAATGTAATACACAAGAAATGCTGCTGAGCTATCACGATATGATTGATTTAAAGAGGAATTTCAATTTAATGACTTGACTGTGAAGTATTTAACTTGCGATCTGGCATGATTGCAGGTTATGGAATACACCACTTTTCAACGATTAGTTATTTTTGTACATGTATTGTGTGTCCTTAAATTTGCTGGTCTGGATTTTTTGTTTGTTTGGTTGTTTTTTTTTTTAGGTACTATACCCCTAAACGATCGGAAATTGAGCTCAGTTGCCCAATGTAGGGTCTGGCTACCTTCTACATTTTGTTTACATTGCATTTTAACATCTGAATTATTTCTATCTAAAGTGTTGCGAATTCTTACATGTATACTTTTTGCGGATGCGATGAGGTCACGAGAAAAATATCTTTCAATCGAATCTGTCCTCTGTTACGTAAAGAAAATATGGCGATGGGAGATGATTTTTCCATCACCTCGCGAGTATCTTGGCCGAAAGTAGGGTTATCATGGGGTATGTCTGACCACTGGGGGATGTCTGACCTGACACCATGGGAAGGACTCCCATTTGAATGTTACGGGATTCGTTTCAGCTCTTGAGAGGGCGTGACGCGTGAAGTGAGTTTATTTAACCCCTCCCAAAGAAAAAACGCAGTTTACAAACGACTGACTCTCCTACGATAATTTTAGCTTTCCCGGCCTTGTAATCGACCAAGGTCAACGATAAGGACGTTGTTTTCATTATTCTCGCGAGTATCTCTAAAATTTGACAGGAATACCGATGTAGCATGATTACTGAAGTGAAATGTAAGTCAACGATTGGCAAACCTAAGCGAGATGACGAGCAAACCTTAGCTCTCCCATATTTCTCTCCGCGGATACAACACAATCCGATACTACCTGATCCGATGTCAAAACACAGCCAGGATACAACGATAAGCTCTGTCAGATTGGGTCATCTTCATGTCATTCAACACTGGAAAGGATTTTTTCTTTCATCAGTTATACTGTGCCAAAAAAGAGGGAATTTTTCTCACCATGTCGCATTATCACTGTAACACTTTGGTTACATTCTGTAAAGCTCAACAAAAAAAGTAATTCTTTTCTATGGGATAAACCTTGACTGAGAAGGACGTGTAAAGAAGCTTGCTGTGTAAGAAATCTGAGATTACTTGTTGACCTAGCTTCCGGACTTTTCGGGTCATTCATGAAGTTCGTGGGTTTTCTCCAAAAACATACGATACTTCAATTTTCGTGTCGCATACCAGAGAGAACTGTAACGGTGTTAGACCGAGGTTGTTTGAAGAACTACGTTAGATGATTGTAAATGGTTCAAAGTATGTTTGTGGCCTTGGCAGGTGGTAAAACTAATCCGATTAATACAAATCCAGGCCAAATGGAAGCCTTCAAAGCATGGATTCGACTAATTTACCATTGGATGTATATACAAATTCTTATCTCTCCTCTGTGATTATGATAATTAACCCAGTCATATCAAGTGTTATCTTTACTCTTCTGCTCACAGCGGCAGTGTAGTAACTTGTGTAGTCACGAGGAATGTCATGTTGTTTTTTTTATCGGATAGGCGCTGTTTATTCATATAACAAGAAGTGAATTTCAGCTATCTGCTAGAATATTCTAGGAAGTTGTTGCTTCACTGCACACACGGATGCGCGAGATTGCCGGTTTTCTATCACTGTTGAAGCAATGACAACAGATTTGGTGTCTTTGAGAGGGAATGCGGCTGTTTTTTTTGTCCTTACTGCTACTGTATTATTCGTCGTAACAGCTAAAGAAAACGAAGGTACGTCAAAGATAGATTTTGCAGAAGAGACATCTTATCCGAACGTATGCCTCTCTTTCTTACTTCTTACATCGCCTCCCCATTGCTAATTCATTGCGCCAAAATTGCAATCAGCTGTTTTTCTTGTGCGAACGATTCGTGGATCATCCTCGGTGTAAAAACCTGACGAGGTTTTCTTTGTTTCATGAGGTATCGTTTTGGTGTACGCTATTGTTTATGTTTTGTTGTCTTTGTTTTACGTCACTCGTGAGCTTCACAAGTTTTTACACCGAGGATGAGCCAGATTCGTGGAGTTGATTGCATTCCTAGAATTAACAAACGAGCTCGCGCGGCCCGCCTCTTTGCGGAGACTAATGGATTTTACAAGTATACCTTTTACCAATTGAAATCAACAACGATACTCGCGCAAATCTTAGCCAAGGAACTACAGCCCAGAGTGACAAAAATGTACGGACTCCAGCTCTTGTTGACGTTTTTCATCATTCTGGCCAGAATATTACCTGAGCTTGTGATTGTACAACATGTTTCTAATTAACACATCATTACTTCGTGTTTCCATTAAAATCTACATACCAAAATGTATTGAAAGTTCCTTATCGAAAAAACAGCCAAAACAAACTCGTTGTGATTATGTAAATACCGTGTTTCAATATCGAATGGCTCGAAAAGCTTCCGTTGGCCTTTACGCCCACGGAATACATAAGTTTGGTAGTCTGAAGAAAACGGGAAAATCGCTAATCGTGAGAGGGATTACTGTTTTTATCAAGAGACAAAATGAGTAGCCACAAAAAAGGAAAAAAAAACTGAACGGGCCTATAAGCTAAAGGTGTTATTAAGGAGGGCTAGACAGTGGAATTGCGCAGGGAACCGAAAAACTAAACCCTGCGGTTGTTTTCATTTTCTTTTTTCCTGTTATTCATACTTTTCGAGGTTTAATAGTCCGACCTCCGTCAAAAAAGATCTGGTGCGCCTGTAAATTTTAATTATAATCAAATCAAGGTCCTCTCAGTGGATTAATTGATTTGTTATTATAATAATTGGATTGATGCCATTTATCTTTGGGGGGGAGGGGAAATCCTTGTCAGACTTACGTGAAGCGAGATTCTTGAGAGGTGGGGGGGGGGAGGGTACATTTTCATGCTAAAGGTATATCACACGCTTTGATTTCTCAAGAGGTTTAGAAACGGATAGGAAACCGTCGTGAGGCAGCTTTCATGAGTTATACTATGGCACATACAACATTGGATGAGTTTGGACGCGAGCGTAGAAATCCTAAGTCTTGCTGCGTTGAAACGACTGTTTTTTTCTTCTTAACTGATGTTATGACGAAGGTCCATGAAACAGCTTAAAACAACTTTTTAGTGGGGAAATTGAGAAAAAAATAAGGCACACAGGTCAAACAAACTATTTCCTGGTGGATCCGTAAAAATATGATTCTGAAATGAGCAAAAAGTTGACATTGGAGTTGACCACAAGAGCATACATTACCTGCTTTCTTTTAAAGTTTGTATTTCATGTAAAATGTCCATTAACCCCTTCCATCGCGACATCAGTAGGCATATTCTCCATACTGTTCTCTATACATTTTGAATCACCTTGCTTTCAAAGACTGGCAGTACTGAAGTCAGTTAGCAGTCGGTAAGGAAAATTTATTTAAAACAATCAGGAGCTTCATTTAGTGATCCTTTTCTTTGTGTGACCTTTATGTGTAATACAGGGGTGATATTGTTAGGAGAAATGAGTTGTTTGTCACTCTTACAGGTTAAAGGGTTAACTGTTGTGATTTTATCTTGTTTACTTATCATTTCAGGAGATTTGTTCAGATCAACTCAAAGAGAAGCAAACCATTGTAAAGTGGCTGTAAAGAAATGCACAGCAATGTACACACAAAACTTAAAAGATATCCCTTCTGATGAACATGTGTGTCTGATGTTAGCAGCTTATAAACTTTGTCTTGTGACAGATGCCTCTTCATGTACGCTGGACACTTCGTATCACACCCTAATTACTGTAGTGTCCCAGTTATTCAACGGTTTGTGTGTAGACAGCAGTGTGAGCCCAATGCATCATAAACAGTCTTCACTAGTGGCAAAACTTTGATGAATGAAAAGTCAAAACATACAAATGTTGCAGACAGCAAGACCGCCAAGCACAAACAACAGCACAGGCTCGTTAGATTTGTAGATGTAACAAATTCTCTAAGGATGGCTTTTCACCAAACAATGTCCACCAACTGTCAAGAAAATGACTACCAACTCTTCAGCAACATGCTGCAGACAGTTTCAAAAAATTGATATGAGCTTGATCAATTTCCACCACCCATGTATAAGGAATGGAGGATGGGGGAAAGAATAGGGGATGAAAAATGGAGGGGAAGACAGGACATAGGAAATGAGGGAGGGGTGAGCAGGGGTATAAAGCCAATACAGGATTCATTGACATGTTAAACCCAGATAGCTTCATCTAAAGAAATTATTAAGGAATGATAAAGGATTAATTCACAAACTAGAGAGATTGTATTTATTCTGTGGAAGGCTTGGTTTTGAAATACTACATACTACATTAGAGGGAAACAAAGAAGAAATTGCTGAGTAAAAAGATGTGACTGCCAGCACTACAATGCAACTGCTATTAATACTTAATAGTGATAACCTTGTCAAAACTTAAATGAGATGTTCCTGAATGATTAGTGGCAAACAATTACGGCTGATTCAGTAAAACATGGCAGCAAAAACAGCAGTTGTCATACAAGATGCATTTGCTTATTAAGTACACACACGTCTAATGATACCTTTGAAATTCAACCAGTCCAGGATGTTTTAGCGCCTTGTCACTTTAAAGCAAGGGAAACTTTAACGAAAAAAAACAAAACAAAAGAAGCTAGCCCTGAAGACAGATTTTCTTCTACCAACATCACAGAAGATGCTGTTAAATTAAGATATGATAGAAGCCAGGTAGTCCTTTACTTCTGCAGGGGTAAGACGACGGAAGCCTTGCTCATTACACACTCCTAACTCAATGTTGTCTTCTGTCATTTGCCCTTCAAAACTCTCCTGTATTGAAATAAAAGACAAAGAGAGAGAAGGTTTAGTAGTTCCTTGTCAGTATTAAACATTTAATAGTATTGAGAGCCATCCTAAACAGATTTAGGAAGCTACTCAACCACTGGTATCCTCCCACCAACTTAGCAAATTCCTTGAACAGTTTGCTAGCACTCAGTAGAGAAGAGAACGAAACAGTCAAATAAAACAGCCAAGGGATGAATTGTGACCTCTTGATACAAAGTGTAGCACTTTCTCTCTTCATTTCCCAGTCAGTTAGGATAAAAAATATCCTTTTCGCTTCAGAAAACTTCATTTTAGAAAAAAAGAAACATTTTTCTCAAAAGTGATCACAATCAAGAAAAAAATATTCAAAGAAATGGTTTTGTGAACTCACCTTGAGAGTCAAGATTGCTGTGTGGATAGCATCTTCTAGTTCAAGATTTTCATTATACCTGCAAAATGAAGATACCATCTAATTATCAATAAGATCTTTTCATAAAGACCAATGATAAAAATAGGAAAGTTCAAACTAGAGATGAACCAATGTCCTAAAGTTAACAAGCTATCTACATCAGGTAAGGACCCATCAAAATGATATGGATAGATGTTTTCTCAAGTTTGGAGCCTCTACATGTAGACACCACTTACATGATTGTGACAGTTACTGAGAGGGTTTAAGTCAATTCTCTTTAATTGCAATTTTGGTGATTTGAATATACTCTAAAGGCATAACCATCGTCCATTTGAAACATTCAAAACACAAACAAACAAGGCAGCAAGTGAAAGAAAGTGAAATGACAGAATGTGCAATCTAGATTTGATTAATCAAGGTAGATCTAGGAGAAATCAAAATATGTAGAACTTACCTCTTTTCAAGAAAGGTTTTGCCATTGATATAGTTTTTACCCATAGCAGTGGCCTTCCAGGCAAAATATGACCCCTGAAATACACACAATTTTGTAAGTAAATAGCAATGTGAACAGAGGTTATATTCTGTACATAGAGATTCAATAATATCTGAGACAAAAGGAATTTGTCAAGGGTGATGCCATGCTGGTCAACAAAAAGGTGAAGGATGTCTGAGTTAAAATTTACTTGCAAGAACCTCTTATGGGTTACAAAAAACAACTTTTAACAAAGAGACAAGCACCTAAACTATTCTCCAGCCTCACTAAAAGTATCAACTAACAACATGCTTTGCATGCAGTATCAACTAACAACATACTTTGCATGCCTGATAAGTTTAATGACAGAGTTTGTTAGTCCTAATTGACTGTTGTTAATCATTAGTGACACTGTAGGCTACATTGGTGAGCTCTGTGTAAAATTTATTTTCATTCTGCACAACTCCAACTTAGGACCCTTGAAACCTGTTATCAACTTAACTTGTAACCCTATGAACAATAGTCTCTTACATCTACAAAGAACACAAATTAATTTCCTTACTGAAGGATCACACTGAAATAAGTATGGCCTGTCGTCATCCCATCCCGCAACCAGAAGAGACACACCAAATGGTCGAACCCCACTAGAAAAAGACACAATAATAACATAATGGGACTGTACTAAATCTCATATGCAGACTCAAAAATAACAATGACTGATTCTAAAGATTTTTTTGGGGGTCAGTGTACTCACCCTGACTGGGTATACTCCTGGATGACAGATGCAAGTTTTTGAACCAACTGTGCTGTTGGTATTTCCTCCTGATACATTAGATAATATTGCTGGGCTATCTTTCTGGCATGTCGAACCAGAACTCTGTAAGTGAGATAAAAGAAAAAAAAAAACACACTACTTTAGGCAATTACCACTACAAATTCAAAAATGAAATCTCCAACGAATCAAATTCTTTATAAAAGTTGACAAATGTCCCAGCTTTTACCTCTTATTTAATATTTTTTTGTCACCAACTACACTGTAGAATAATTGTTCAGAGTAGGTTGGAGAGAGATCTTCATGACCAGATCAACCACAGGTTAACAATGAATATGTCAAATTACTAAATAATCAACCTGTTCCCTTTGAGCAAATTAACTAATATCATCTGAAGAAAATTAGGAGTACAAAGCTGAGATATCAAATACAGCATTGCCAGTCAAAGACAATTATTCTATAGCGTGGTTATCAATACAAACCTGTAGTCTGGGCCCATTCCACTATAAACCATACCCACACTTTTTGTTACCATTTCCACCTAAAAGCAAAAGGTAAAAGGAAAATCTTAACAGACAACTTCCCAAACTGATGAACTGACAAACAGACAAACTGATCAACCAATGAGCTGATGAACTGACAAAGAGATACAATGGGGCTTTTTCAGGGCTAATATGAACAAACAGTGGAAGGATCACTTTGAAATGAACTCAAAATGTTCAGCTGTAAAAAAAAAAGCTAATTGTGAGGAGGCAAACCAGTTGGCTATTTATCATTTCACAGAGTGTAGCTAAGCAATTGAACTCAGGCATCTACAAAATCTAACTTGTAGTAGTGGAGGACTTAAAGAAAAAACCACTACATTACAATAATTCCAGCTTACTAATCCCTGGGCTACTCTGCCTCTAACTGTCAAACATATCAGAACCTATTAAATACCCAAATTTTAGAAAGGAAAATGAAAATAAACAAAACTATTTTTCCTCCTTCTTGATAATGCACACAAGTTATTGGTAAAATATCTAAAATGTTTTTTGTGTGTGTGTGTGTGTGTGTGTGCGCGTGCGTGTGTGTGTGTGTGTGTGTGTGTGTGTGTGTGTGGGTGGGTGCAAATGCTAGACACATATAAGTTCATTACTTTACACTGTCAGCAACATTGTCTATTGTAACAAAAGGTATCAAACCTTGTTGATTGTACTGTCATCATATAAAACTGACTTCTGTTTCTTTTCAGCAGCAAGGACAACTCCATTTGATGCTTTTAAAATATTAAAAAAAAAAACTTTGTAAAATAAAAGTAAAACTTAAAGTACATATTTGGGCTACTGACAAAACCTAAATGTATAAATATCACAATACAATTGCCTACTTGAGTAGTTAAAAATCTGTCCTCAGTTACCTCTCTCATTAGTTGGAGCAGAGGAGATGACTATTTACCCTGTACAAGTAGGTAGTCACATCAGAGTACATATTCTCCATACTTTCTTTGTACAATTGCTTTGTTGCTGACATTGAGAATTTGTGTAACAATCCCAAGTCTCTTTCAAGTTTAAAAGAATTAAAGTAAAAATTTCTGGTTCATAGGAGGGACACTTATTTCAAGAGGGCATGATCAAACAGACATGCTGATGAAAGAATTGTGAATATCATTTTCATTTTCATGTTATTCTCCTACATTTTAAAACCATTTACTTCCACTAAAACTGACCTTTTATTCCTACAGAAGGTCCTCCTGCTGCTACAGCTGCCAGGGCATATTCTATCTGAACAAGTTTTCCAGAAGGACTGTGGAGCAAATATAAAAACACACATTAGCAAAACCTTGCAGCGATTTTTTTTTCCTCTTTGGACTGTGATTGAGCAAAGTTTACAAGTTCATAGAATTTTCACAAGGTGGGAACAAACACTTGACTCTTGTATTTCTCCCTGCACTTCTTTTGTGCTCTGGCCACTTCCTGCTTGCTTTACAAGAGAACAGAGCACAGTTAAGGCTTCTCTATCTGTTAATTTTCACTCAATTTATGCAAATAAGCAACCGGTGTTTTGTTGTTTGACTACAATATGTACAAATGAAAATCCATCACTGACTGCAGAAATGGAAAATTTTTCTTCTTAAATTAAAATTACTAGAGGTAGAAAGCTAAGCTTGTGCTGAGCTCAAGCTTACATTGACATCATACACGTGTTAACGTTTATACCAAAGAAAAACAGAACGGTTCTTGTACACCATGCGCCAAAACGGACCGGTAGAAACTATAACTAACTGCACTACCAATATTTACGTTCTAAAACTACTTTAGAGTTGATTAAACACCAACAGAAATAACAGTTAACAGAAATTTTCAATAAAAGTAGTATGGAAGACAATACTGTCCACATAAAGGTATCATGCACAGTGGATTACATCAAACTCTGGGTGACGCGTTTCATAATTCCCGACGCAATAATTGTCCATAATAATGTCTTATTTGAACTGCTGAAGGCTCATTTAAATTTTAGAGGAAAAGAGAAAGGATAAACTAACTAAACTCTACCTGAAAGTTGTAAGACTAAAGCTGTATCTTTCCGTCATTTTGGATCAGGGTTAACACTAATGCACCGCGACACTCTGACTCAGCAGTGCTTAGTATCCAGGGTGCCACTCGGTCAGATGCCTAAGCTTGGTTACTAACGTTCATTCATTTTCGTGTTTTCCATGAGTTGGAGTTTTCCACGTCAATTTAGGAGAGGTTTACATATTTCGCGGATATGAGCCGCCCTTATCGCAATCATACGCGATATAGGCAACGTCCCTACAAGCATTGGACAGAATCAAGCGCTGTCAAGCAAGAAAAGGTGTATGAAGATGTAAACTTTTCGTCATCACCGTATACTTATCCAACGTTTTCACCAGATAATGGCGGCAATAGTCGACTGCCAGGCTGGGATTACCTTCTGCGTCGCAAAGCCGAAAACATTAACGATCGTATTCTTAAGAGTAAGGCATCAGCATCTTGTGGTGGAACATCGCATGATGAAAGTTATGAGGCATCATCACAGTTTGTAATCAAACAGGGGCCAGATAACCCAGCTGCAAGAGAACAATATAGCTATTCAGCGTTATCATGGACACCTTGTAATGACCCTTCACAAGAATATGCTCAAAAAGGAGGATTTTGGATTGAAAGAAAGGAAGAGAGAAGCAACCCGGATCTTAAAGCTGGACAATCAAATTCCGATCGACTCGCTAATGCGTTTGAGAATCAACAGATGCGTAAAGTTAAAATCGAGCACCCTTTGAGGATCCCTCACCATAAAGGCCGTCATTCCAATTACCCAGGTGCAAGTACTGGTCAAGGTAGTAATCTGACAGTTGAAAAATTGATATCTAACATTCGAAGTGCTGTTGCTTCAAATCCAAATTTTAAGAGAAACATAGTAGATTCTGCATGCAGTCAGACTTCAGAAAATTGCAAGAAACAAAGTAGTATTTCAGGTACAAGTTTTGGGACAACAAGTTCTGGATTGAGAAACCCTGTAACTCAAGTGTCTGAGGAAATATCCAACTCTCATTCACCTTACAATACTGGTAATGAAGTCAGGCATGGCACCATGATGGACAAGACTAATGACATACCACATGGAAGTGGAAAAATACACCACAACTCAAAGCCAGATACAAGGAGAAATCAGTATATTCCTGGAGATAGGAAGACTCTTACTCATACTCTACCTTATCCAGCAGAAGGCGTTGAAGTGCAATACACCCAAGATCCAATTGAAGCAGAGGCTTGGTTAAAGAATAATATTATTGATTGTTCTGCACAGGCAGTTGGTTTAGACATTGAGTGGAAGCCCCAGTTTAAAAGTACGAAGGATGGAGGAGTAGAAAGCAAGCCTGCAGTGTTGCAGCTGAGTGTTGAAGGGTCATGTTTGGTTTTGCACCTTTGTCACATGAAGTCAAAACCAAAGTTGCTGAAGAATGTTTTGAGTAATAAGATGATATTAAAAGTTGGAAGTGGAATTTTACAAGATGTTACAAAGCTAAATCGTGACACAGGACTTAGTTGCAAGGGGCTGATGGATACACAGAAAATGGCTAAGTCAATAGGCATCCCTGTTTCACAGAAGCTAGGGCTCAAAGCTCTTGCCAAACATTTCCTTGGGTTTGACCTGGAAAAACCAAAGTCTGTGTCCATGAGCAACTGGGAGAGACGTCCCTTAACACTTGAACAAATTCATTATGCTGCGTTGGATGCATGGATTGGATTGAAAATTTACTTGCACATGAAAATGGTGAAGGGCCAAGAACAAGTGTTCATGGAGGAGGATGTTGAGGAGCCAGTAGAGACTCTCCAGTGTCGAGTGTGCGGCAAAAAGGTTAAAGGCCAGGATGGCCTCAATGAACACAGCAGTATTCATCCTCAGTGCAAATGTGGACAGGTCTTTTTGGTGAAAATTTCTAAAAAGCACCAAAAAAAGTGTCCTTTTAGCAGTAGTTTGGCACAAGAAGGTCAAACTGCAGACGATGTCACAGTTTGGTGCCAGGGCTGTGGAAAGAAATGCAAGAATGAAGAAGTACTCATGAAGCATGTGAGAGAAGTAGGGCATGTGCAGTGTCCATTTTGTAGCAGGTTACTTCAAAATGCACAAAGCATTAAACATATTCAGAAGTGCAGAAACAAATACTGAAAGCTGTTCTGAGTTGATCTCTGGAACATGTTATGTATGCTTACATTTTTATTCTTATCGTTAGAATAAGAGCCTGGAATTTGTTTCACTATAGATCGCTTTTCTTTGAATGCTCCCTTATAGAACCATTAGTTTTCGAAAACCTGTATCTTGTTAGATGTTCGAGTGTCAATCAAAATATGAAAAAAGTTCACTACTGTGTTTCATTTATCTTCTTTATTATGATTTACTGCAGTTCTGAGTTTTTCCATGTTTTAGCTTAAATAAATTAACTGAATATAAAAATGCATACTGCTTTTATCTGGGGGGGCAATTTAGATCAGTAGAGAACACTAAGGACCTCGGAGTAACCATTTCTTGTGAACTGTCTTGGGGCATGCCGGTATCTGCAACAGTAAATATGGTACTAGGTGAATATGGCACTAGGCAAATATGGTACTAGGTATCAGAAAGCGGTCCATTGGAACTAATAGCCAGTACATGTTTTTGCAGCCCAATAAGTCACTGGTCAGGCCCATACTGGAGTATGCAGCTCCTGTTTGGAGTCCGTATTTGAATAAGGATATTAGGGCTCTAGAGAAGGTTCAACGAAGAGCTTCATGACTAGCTTTAAGGCAGAAATGAGGCAAAATGAGTTACGAACATTGTTGTAGCTTACTAAAATGGCAAACACTAGAAAAGCGGAGAGAATTTCTATCTCTGGTTCAAAGTTCGGCGGTTAATTTGGCTCGCTCTCCATAGTTTAAAAAACTTTGAAAGCCCCAAACAAGTGATTTTGAGGCTTTCTGGTAGAAAAAAAACACTTCCAAACAAGTAATGAACTATTAAGCTTTATTCCGAACTGATTTTTCTTGAAGACTGACTACTAGCGAAAGATTCTAGAGGTAATATATTCGAACTACATTTATAACGGCCATGTAAATGCCACAGGACCCATTACCATAGAAACCCGAAACCACGGATTAAGATGGTATACCGGTGGAAAAACATTGGGTAACTTAGTCCTTCCATCGCATTGTAGTGCGGGAGACTGAAATCTAGTATGCCCCCTGGAATCCTGGGAAATAAATCATTTGCGACACGTGAGTTTGTCCTCTTTTTCTGCGGCCATCTTGGATTCTGTTGCAGCGCGGTGACTGCTACAAGAAAACTCTCAGAATGGGTCGATTACACGCACCAGGGTAAGGGAAATTGGCAAGAAAAAACGTGAAAGAGTACTTGAACTAGTTGATGTACTCCGAATATAGTTTTATTTCCTAAATAGAGTCTTAGGGGCTTGTTCAATGATGTGATGTTGTAAATTCTGTAGGACTTAAACTTTTCGTTTCTTCACAACTTGCCTGACGTTATTCCGAATTTTTTTCAAAGGAAAGGTATATCTGGTTCAGCTTTGCCATATCGCCGAAGTGTCCCAACGGTAAGAAAATCATGAATAAATTTTTCTTGGGTAAAGGTAGACACGTTAAAATTTCTTCGAAGGCGCACACCTATGCTGTCTATGGCTGAATTTTCTATTTGTCATCACGCTCGTAAATTTGTTGATTGTTTTGTATACTCTGAACTTCGTTTTCAGCATTAATACCTCAGATCTATACCATTTTTCTGGTATTTCTTGAGAGATTGATAAACAAAGGATTTTATCTGGTCCCAACAACAGTTTTTTTAAACAACAAAATCAAACAGCATCATTCGACATTCTCTCCGATCTTTTAATTTGGGAATGTGTAATTTCCTTGAACTGTGGTGAACTTCTCTCAATTGAGGGTCAAACTCTTTTGTCATTGAGGAATGTTTGAGTAATTTAGTCTGTTGTATGGTTAACTTTGAAGATGCAGAATTTTCAAATTTGCTACATCAATTTCAAGGAGTACACCAAGGCTTTGTGGTGTGTTAAAACTATTACAGTTTCAGATTTTCGGCTAACAGTTATGATACATTTTAACCAATAATGATTTGTGTACTTTTCTGTTTTGTTGCTATCAGTGGCTCAAGTTGACAGCTGATGATGTCAAGGAACAAATCTACAAGTTAGCCAAGAAGGGCTTGACTCCTTCTCAGATTGGTTAGTGTAGAATAATTGAATTTTATTCTGGCACTAGTACTCCAAGTTCAAAGGTTTTCAAAGTTTCATTTTGGTGACCAAAACTCAGAAAATCATTGCCAGAAAGAAAGTTTTATTCAGCAGCAGTTGGCAGTCTTAAGTGAAGGGTTTTTGAGGGTCTTAAGACATAGCACTTGCACAACTTTAGAGAAAGAGGCAAGACAGGGCAGTGATTGTTTTTTGCAAATCTTTGTCTCATTTTAACTTAAAGTGCCTATAACCCCAAAAAGTTTTTTTGGCCATATTAAATCTCTCTATTGCACTGAGCAAAATGCTGCAATAATTTTTGTTTGGTTAAAACCGCGATTTTTTATGATTTTTCGAAGTCGAGTTTAGTTTTCGAACGACCAAGTGAACCAGAGACTGGGGCCAGTGACGTCATACCAGGCCATCGGTAGTGGGGCTCCGATCCAATCTCAGTCAATATTATACGTTCCCAGCGAGATGAAACCTTCGCTAAAGCCTGATCTGGTAGATTTTTCTCATCTTTCTCTTACTTCGCTCGCTTTCAGCTGATTTTGTTTCCTCCAACATTCCACGCGTGATCAGTTGGAAAGACGCAAATTCCAACTCCATCTTTACGCAACCTTCGTTGCATAGTTTTGCTAGTCAGAGCAGAAAACATGACTGAATAATCTTCTTCTCGGAAGTGGTTGGAACACATGGTTAAGTATTTTCTGGGCTTCCAATGTGCACGCTTCAATTGCACAAAGTCAACCCACTTCTTTCTTCTCTTTTTTTTCTCTGGGTCATCTGCCCCATAAAAAGGTATTGGATGAAATGCTATTCTTTTTTCTTTGTTGGGAGTGTTGCTACACCCGAAAACAACGCCCTTGTCAGGCATATCCATCAAGATACTTCATCCAGTCCTTGAAGCAAACTCATTGGAAAGCCTGGGATGACGTCACAAACTGTGCTCGACCCAGACCCATCTTGATAATTCCGTGCCTTGGTCGTGTTTTAAAAAAATGCGATTTTCCGCGACTTTGAAAATTCATAAAAAATTGGGGTTTTAACTAAACACAAAAATTTTTGCGGCATTTTGCTCAGTGCGATAGAGAGATTTAATATGGCCAAAAAATTTTTTTGGGGTTATGGGCACTTCAAGGTCATAAAAATTTAAGAGGGAAAACATTCCAGCAAGCCAACTGATAGCTGAACACTGGTTACCAATTTGGCAACTTTTGCCAAAAATTTGGTTGCCCAAAGGTTATACTTGCTGTTGCAGCTAGAATTGTCACATTTTTTAGGGCTCTGTAGTGTAGATGAAGTGAAGGAATATTTAAGAATGATTAAAAGTGGAGTCTTGTTTTATTCTAGGTGTGATTTTGCGTGACTCACATGGTGTGGGACAAGTATGCTACATTACTGGAAACAAGATTCTCAGGATTCTCAAAGCCAAAGGTACTAACCTTTGTCAAGGCTGTGCTCTAAGAAAAAGTGAAAGGAGCCCAGTGCTCTGAAACTTTGAAATACAGTGTGCCCAGCATAAATTATGTTTTTATATAAAGAAACTAAAATTCCTAAGTCGCCCAAGAGCAAAAGTAAGGCACCTGTCGCTGCTAGACCACAGCCCTGTTTGTTATCAAACAATCAGGCAATGGATTCCTGAGCTGCACATGTCAGGGAAGGCTATCAAGGCATATTTGTAATTAAAATCTTTGAAATTGCTGCCCTGTGTGTAGCTTTGTGTTGACTTAGGTTTTCAATCGTGCTGTAGTTTTGTCTGTTTTATAGTAAAACTGTAAAGTTTTATTCTCAACCAAAAGTATGATCACTTCAATGTTTGAAGTTTATTTCATTGGGGTGTCTCCAAAGAAACCTTAACTTGTAAGTTGCTTTTTATTGACAGGGCTGGCTGGAACACTTCCTGAGGATCTTTATTTCCTCATCAAAAAAGCCGTTGCTGTGCGCAAGCATCTTGAGAAGCACCGAAAGGTAGACAACCTTTACTTTTTAGAGTGCATGAAGGCTTGAAATTGGTACAGCAAAGGGGCAATGAATAAATCTGTTACTATCCAAGAGTATTGATTTGAAGAACTTCCCTCGGGTTGAGTAAAGCTGTAGCCTGCATAGCAGGCAGTCTGTTGGGCATCAATTAATATGGAGATGGGATAAACAAATATAGAAAGCAGAGGCCCAGGAGGAAAAGCACCTGCTTAAGTTTATTGGGTTTTCAGTAACTGTCTTTTGTAAAACCTTTTTTTTTTTTCATTTCTTTATTACGCTTATCAATATAAAACTGGTCACAACATAAGCATAATACAAAAGAGTTCAACATGAACTTGGGCTGTATTGATGCCAGTGAAGAATGAAAAGTAAAGAGCCTTATTCTTTTGTTTTTGTTTTCCTTGACAGGATAAGGACTCTAAATTCAGGCTGATTCTAATTGAAAGTAGGATCCACCGTCTGGCTCGTTATTACAAGACCAAGAGAGTTCTGCCTGCAAACTGGAAATAGTAAGATTTGTTCAAGTGTTCTTTTGTTGTTTGCTGTAAATGTTCCTTAGGATCTGAAATTTGTTGTTATTCACCTGTTATACATTGTTTGTACATATTCCTTCTAGAGATGAAGTAAATGCAAGTTTCTTGGTTTAAGTAAGGGAGGGGGATTAAAGGAAACCTTTTTCTACATTTTCAAGACCATTGCCACTTGTTCTACTCAAATCATAGAACTTTTCAGCTTAGAAAAGATATGAGAAGTCAGATATATAAGGTACCGCATGTGGAAAATGATGAAACCAGTCTGAAGACAAGTCTTGAAGAATTAAACTGCAATATCCATATTCTGGAGTATTGAAATGTGTTTAACTCAATTTTTCTGTCTTTTTGTTTCAGCGAATCATCTACAGCCTCTGCTTTGGTTGCATAAGCTAACTCTGTAAACAACAAAATAAAACCATTGTGTAGAATTCACCCTTGCTTTGCATTTGATGTCTTAGTTTGTTTCTGTTTAATGTGAAACACCCCATTTTTACTACATCATAATTTTTTCCTTATGAAGTTTATTTCAAAACCCCACTAATTCAGTCAATATAATTATTGTAAAATCTCCTGTCCATTTTTGTTCCTTATGATAAAAAGTAACACAAGATAAAATGACCCTATGACCTTTCTGTTGTGCGTTCAATGGAAAGTTTTACTTTATTTTGTTCATTTGACTGTCTCAAAACTCTACAGAACAAATTGAAGAGGTGTACAAATAAGTTTTTTCATTAATAGTATTCCAGTGTATATGAATTTTGGCTGTGAACACAGCTCACCCTTTTTGCTCTAACCAGTGTTAAAATGACATGTTTGGAAAAATGGCCATTTTTGCAGGCTGTACAAGATGAAGCCTCTCCCAGAAACTACTCCGGTTCAAAGATTTGTTTCCTCAAATACCATATTTACTTGCTCAATCTATCCCCTTGATAAAATACAGCACATGGAAGTAAAATTGCCATTTAACACTGCTCTCCCTTAATTACTACACTCAATCGGAATAAGTTGGTGTGTCATTTGATAATTATAAATTAAAGAATAATTTGTGTCCAACTTGGTAATCTACACTTTTTCAGAGGAAACAAAAGACATTGGAGCTTTTGATGTGTTTCTATTTGACATAATGTCTTGTTAAACACATAAGTGACTTGTGTAATTATGGTGTAATTATGGTATAATTACTGGTAATGATTGAAAAAACTCAAATATGATTTTACGATTAATTTTGCCTTTGAGTAGGCTTCACATTTGAAATGCTTAAAATTGAATGAAAACAACAGTAGTTAATCAAGTCAATTGGTACCTCAGATTTAAGCTTTGAACTGAAGTACCAGAAATGAGTCAAATCCAAACCACCCCATGCAAACAAACTTGCAGTGACTCAACCTGCATCAGGATGTGAGGAAATATTTTATTTCTTTAGACAGCTCTGCCATTTTTAAGCTGTTGCATCAGAAATGACAGACATCTACTAAAAGTGAATGGTTCAATGGGTAATGAGAGACCTAAATTGTTCTATTTCCTTCGTAATGACTGGATGATACATGTACTTTAGTATGGGAAGTTATGTATGTCCACAAGTGCATTGAAGAAATCTGGTTCTGTCCTTGTGTACCGGTTCACAAGAGCCGATACAAAAGACTGAACAATACACAACAGCTAACCATTAACTCCTAAACAAAGAAAGAACAATGGTAATTCCCTTGTGAACCGGTACACCAGGACAGAACCAGAAATCTGGTATCTTCAATGAGCATAATATACAAAAAGCCAATAATTTGTATCCAGTGAATAACAACTATCATTATGGAGATATCCCCCCCCTGATTTCTTAGTGGTGCTAAATGTTTGATTGATGTTGAAAAATTACCAGTTGACCAAGGAGTGCACAATTTTTTCAGACAACCTTAATGAAAATTCTCTCGCTAGTAATAGCCAATGCTGTGAGATCTTCATTTTACAGTTACACATTGTACCTAAAGGTGATTCTTTAATGTGTGACACAAAATACATTTTCATTTAAAGTTTTGTATTATTCTTAAAATTCCATGTTATAGACTACTGATGATTCATTGTTACAAGGTATTTGCTGTATCTTTCATATCTTGCCATGTAGACATCCCCTACAGAATAAATATAACACATTGACATTAAAATCTGGAATTGTATGTCTCACATTGTTCATTGTGACCTCTGTGGTTTACTTCATAAGCAACTAAATAATCTGCCAGATGTTACAGATTTTGGAAGAAATATTCAAGGTCATTTCAATGCCCTTTCAACTCAAGTTTCACCTTTACCAAACTGAAATTTTAACCATGATGCCTTGCAAACATGTAAAGATCTACCAAACTACAAAGTACAGGCAATGACACTAAATGAGTACAGAAGTGCAAAAGTCTTAAAATCTTGCTTCTTCATAATGATGGTTACTTCACAAGAAATTCAACTGGAAAATCATTGCAAAAAGTGCGTTTGTGAAATGAAAAAGAACTTCCTGGTTCCTACTGTCTCCCAAATTTTGTTAAATTTCATTGCACTGATATGTAGGTTTATCACTGATTAAAAGAATATGCCATCTGTAAAATATTATAACTCAGGCACATACCAATTTGCATATCATTATTTGAGTCTTGATGTGTGCTGCTAACACTTCCTTCAAATCTCTCACTTCTTGTTTTTTGAAGTGTTCATAGTCTTTTAGTGCTTCCTCATTAAAAATTCTGAGGAAAAATCAATGAGAATGTCAATCTCTCCTAAAAGGAATATTTCAACCCAAAAATTCAACAAAATCAGTATGTGTAAATAACCAATTTAAAATAAATTTATGTAAACATAAATGAAACAACCTAACTTCCTCCTTTGTGGTTTTCACATTTTCCTCAGCATCATTTATTTGTTCATCCAAATTGTTTATCTTGGTTTCTAACACTTCTGGAGTCTCAGCACCAAAAATCATGGATGACAGTCCCTTGAATGAAAATCCACCAGACTTGGGTGGGGTATGTCCACTTTGTAGGGCTTCCTACAGATATGGTGAACATAAATTATTATAAATAAAATAAATACAATTATAATAACTACATCAAAAAGACATCTGCAAAAAAGTGGATTGTTCAATTTTGTACTCGGCTGAGAAGTTAAATTTCAACCACCAAAAATGTCAAATTTACACACTTGTAAAATTACAAAAATCTGCAGCAGTATTTGCATAATTGTATTCATAATTTTCCAGTTCAAAATGTTTCTAAGTAACTAACAGATCAGACTCAAAACACATATCTTCACCAAACTGATACACTATGCCCACTGGTAAACAAGAGTGACTTCATACTGCTCTTAGCTACCTTCAACACTGGCTTAGCCAGTGAGCAGACCTTCAATATAAGCACTTTGGCACAGGCATTTCTCTAAGCACGCCGGCAGTGAGAGGTCTATTTTTTAACAATTTTATTGAGTATGATTCAAAGAAGACATAGACCCAATAGGGTTGGTGTGAACGAGACACAAGGAGCCATGTGATGCACCACCCTCTAGAGAGGCACTGTGAGAGTAAAGTGTATTGATTAATGTGCATAAGACATGAAAATTTTTTCTCTCAAGTTGTTTCTTGTAGTTGGATATCTATAGAAAACGTTTTGAAGCCTTAAAAAGTGCTGGAAAAATCCAAAAGCATTTATTTTGCTTTCAAAATACGCACAATTTGCCTTCAAATTTGTCCCGGTCATCGCCCAGCCAAAATCACATGTGATATCGTAACATGACGTCACATTGTGTAGGTCTCAATGGAACTTTTGGAAGAGTTTGACTCAAAGGAATCATTAGAATCACTGGACATCTTTGCCTTTCAATGCACTATCTATCTACTATGAAGTACTGCAGAATCCTCTTAGCGACAACAGACCTTCACAGCAAAGGGACACAATGTGATGCCACGAATAACTTCAACAGCGATAAACTAGGTCTCAGTCTCTGAGACAAATTTGAAGGCAAATTGCCCATATTTTGAAAGCAAAAAAATGCTTTTTACATTTTTCCAGCACCTTTAAAGCTTCGAAACATTTTCTATCTATAGATATCCAACTACAAGAAGCAAGAGAAAAAAATTTCGTGTCATATGCACTTTAAGAACACCACACATTTGCTGGCCAGCCAGCACTCAAACCCAGACCTCTCAACCTGGAGTCCAGTGTACTGACCATTAGGCCACTGCACCTCCCTGTAAGTGGTCTCAAATCTTTCCATGGGCAGGGAAATGTGTGTCCTGTGGCACTAAATAATGAACGATGCCTACCTGCAAGCTACCACTGGTTGGAATTTCCAAGCAATTGTACTTTCATGATATACTAAACCATGCTACACCTGTTGCCCAAGTTACCTTTTGAGTATTTAACTCATCTCTCTGTGTTTTCTTGTTAGTCAAAGTCTCTTCTGCCTTTTCCATGTCATACTGACGCAGAAGCTGCCGACTGGCCACCCCCCTGCAACACAGAAGAAAGAAAGTTGAAACATGAATTTTCAAACAGAAAACTATCACATGATGTCACAGTGATGTAAGTAACAAGTTTCAAGAGCATTCATGATGTGCTTTTCAGTCGTAGCATGAATTAAAGGTAGTTTAAGAGCGAGACCGAAAGTATACCACCCGTAGGTAGAAATATAAGTTTGAGTTGATTTAAAACAGTGAAACTAGAATAGTCATTGATGGTGGCATAAAGTTACCACACAATACCTGGCTTGAAAACTGTGGTCAGTGTTATAGAAGTATCATGAGTTTACATACTTTAATACATCAGAGAAGTGAAGGTATTCCTTTAGTGGTTCTGAGAAAGCCATTTCATCTTCAACAAGTGCTTCATCAACAGATGCTGCAAATCTGCCAAAGTTTTACAAATCAATTGTCACAAATTCTATGCCTATTTACCACAAGGAGGTAACTTGATCAACACCCTTGTGCTAATAATACATTATATGTTTCTTCAATCAAAACAATTGTGTTATTAAAAAACTAGCTACTGACCTGTCCATATAATGGCCAGATTTTTGTAGATCATCACCCATCTCTTTCTCCAACGAACTCCACTCACTGTAGATGATAAGAAAAAAAAAATCAATCACTAGTTACCCAGACAAATATTCTTCTACATTGAAAAGGATCACAATCTTAACCAAGTTTTGTTGGAAAAACTTACTCCCCTCTTTTAGTTAATGTTTAGTCTTTGTTTTTTTAATTTAGTCTGTTTGATTGTCTTTTTTTTTGTGATCGACTTGTGGCACTATTACCAACATTGTCAAGCTGGAAAGAGGAGATGTTTGAACAAAGTTGTAATGAACATTTTAAGTATTTATGAACCATATGAACAAAGTTGCTCACCTAAAAATCTTTCCATAAGTAGCATGTTGTTTGTGGATAGAAAATATTGTATCTGAGATACGCTAAAAATAATAAAAAAGAGACATACAACGGTTAAAAAATACAACAACTGCATCTACATATTAACTGAGTGTGGAGGATAGGTTTTGGAGACAAAACCAAGCTTCAAAGGTCCTCTAAAATATATTTTATTTCATACTGAGATTTACACTGTGAAGTAATATCATCCATGTCCCTG